GGCGGCGCCGAGCGGGCTTGTGCCCCCGCCTGCCGAAGGGCCGCTCTGCGCGCTCCTCGGCATGCGCCGGACAATGAAACACTAGCGGGGCCCTTGCATTGGTGCAGCCCCTGCTGGGAACGGACGGGTCGTCCCTGCGACGGCTTCCTCTTGCAAAGCGCTAGCACGGGGTCCACTTGGCTCCCTTTTTCTTTACCCCTTTTGTTTTCAGCCACCTCCCCCCGTTCGCTGGAGGAGAGTTTGATTTTTAGCTGTGCCACTGGAAATGATTCAAAACCCTCCCTTCTTTTTTAAACTCCAGTCGGCTGCCGTGCTAAGAGACGCTGGGCTGGGAGGCAAATTTTGGGATCTTTTGTTACTGTCCCTGGCAGCATCTTCATTGGTTTGCCCGTTTGGTCCCCGACAGATTTCCTGAGCCATGGAGTCCCCCAACAGCATGTCGTCCTGCGAGTCCCTGTATTCGGCCGACAGCGCCGCCAGCGACGAAGAGGACAAGGGTTACGACTTCAGTGTCTTCCTCTCGGACAGCGAGAGCGAGGGGGAGAAGGAGGCCAGCGGCCGGAGAAACGCCCGCGCCCGAAGGGAGAGGGGCGTCTTTCCCCCCCAGTTGAAATGGACTAGCCCCAGCCTGCCGGGCCGGGACTGCAAATGCAGGACAGTGAGACCCGCTTTGCAGAGCTCTGCTAGACAACGGCCTTCGGGTCCGTGCGGCCGGTTTCCCGGGGCCTTGGAAGGCAGATACCCCTCCGCCTGCCCTTGCTTGGCGGAGGGGGCCGGCAGCCTGGCCGACAGGACTCTGACCCAGAAGAGGGCGGAGAGCGGCCCGGCGGGGGAGAGGGAATACCCAGGACGTGCTGCCCAGCCCGCGGCCCACGGGATCAAAAGGCAAAGGAGCAGGGAAGCAGGGACGAGGGAGGCTCCGGTGTCACCCCTGACCGAAGGGGACCGCTTGTTTGCCCAGAAGGTGAGTTCCAGGAGGCTGTCCGGGGAAGTGGGTGTCAGCCCGGGGGGAGTTGCCTGGGAAGGGGGGCGAGGCCCGGCTGGGATTCCTCGCCCATAGATGCACTGATGCCATTGGCCTTTCACTGCCCCAAAGAGCGAAGGCCTTGGCGGCGCTTGAGCGGGTGGGTGGAGTGAGCTTGCTGGGCGTGTTCCCCTGGGCCGAGGCTAGTGCAGACTCTGATGGGAGGCCGGGCCCGGGGAAGGAAAGCAGGTGTCCCAGCGAAAGGATGGGGATGGGAATTCCTGGGGGCACTTGCATGGGCACCATGAGCCATTCAGGATGAGGGGCGTTACGCCCTAGTCGTGCACCGGGGTGCTAGAGCAGAGATTGTCCCTGCTGCCGGAAGCTTACAGTCTGGGGATGGCCGTGAACTCGGGTGCAGTTGCTGCACTACTGGGGAGGGAAGCCAGTGCTGAGCTCACCTGGCTGGCTTCCCACCTCGCCGCCCGTAGAGTTCCACGGGAGCCCTGCATCGGGGGCAAAACGAGCCCCGGGGATGTGCCAGGGAGGGGCTGGCTGGGGGACCTCGGCTGGTGGATCATCCCGGATGGGCTGGCTCACCTTCCGTGCTCTGTCTCTGCAGTGCCGGGAACTCCAGGGCTTCATCCGGCCCCTCGCGGAGCTGCTGACCGGGCTGAAGAAGGGGCGCTACGAGCGAGGTACGTGCTGTTCTTGCAGGGGTGCCTCCCCGGAGGGCCTGAGGCTGCCGGCGGGTGTCTCTGTGAACCACAGGGAATGATGGGCCCCCTCTGCCCATTGGGGTCCCTGCCTCGGAGGCAGCACGGGTGTCTCTGGGCGGGAGAATCAGGGCCCCGCTTTCCCACCCTGGTGAGAAGCAGCAGCTGCTGCCCGGCATGGGGAGCTGCCTCCGGCATGGTTTCCCTCTGTCTGCTCTCTGTGTGCACGGTGCGTTCCTCCCCCTTTCTTAATGCCACCCTCTGAAACATCCCTAATCCCAGCCCTTTACCCCGTCTTTGCCTAGCGTTTGTCTGTAACAGCCCCGTCACGGGGCAGGGAGCAAAGGAAGGACTGGCAGGGGCAGGTCCGATCCTCCTGCTGGGAAGGGGGATGAGCTGGGCAATTAAAGCTGCAATTGCCAGTTTAGAGAGAGGAGAAAACACGAAAGGGCTGGATCTTCGCCCCGTGCCAAGGGGAGAGGCTGGGTAGTCTGCAAGAGCTGGGCAACGGGAGGGGAAGGGCTGACGTCCCAGCCCTCAGGGGCCTGCTGGGAGCTGAGCGCGTTGGTCGACGTGGCCCCGCTTGTGAGCACGGACTCTTGGCCGTCTGGTCCGGAGCCCGCGGGGGAGGAAGGCGGTAGCAGCTCTGGTTGGTTTTCCGTGCTTCCCGGCTCCTCTCCATGCCCGATGACCCGTCATCGCCAGCCAGAGGTTGCTGCAGAATTTCTCCCCCTGCTGCGTGTGTATCCAGGGCTTTGCCCGGTGCTAAAGATGCCCCGTCCCAGGGCCGGGTTCGGAGACACGCTGCAGTGTGTGGTGAATTGACTTGACGTGAGTCGACGTCCGTGAATTTACTCGCCGATGCGACGGACGTCAGTCTCTTGCCCGCCGCGGCTGCTTGGAAAGGGCTGGGACGTGGGAGGAGGCTGAATGGGCCGCAGCCCCGGCGGGCGTGAGTCCACGGCGCACCGCTGGAGTCAGCAGATCCGTGCGGAGGCTGCGGCCCAAGCGCTCGGACTCCTTTCTGCCGGCGCCGGATTGCTGTTGCGTCCCCTCCGGCCTTGCGGCTCCGTCGCACGTTGCGTTTCAATATTAATCTGGTTACGTCGGCTAGCCGGAGCCAGCCCTGCCCGGGAATGGGCGCAGGGCTGAGAAACCTGGAGGTGTCTTGTCTCCAAGATCCTGGACGTTGTAGGGTACTGGCCGGGCCTGCTGACAGGGAGGCAGAGGGGGCTAGTTGCCCTGGGGCCCGTCAATTCTAAGGGCCCTGAGCTCCCGGCTACTGTTACCGTGGTAATGGCGGAGCCCTGAGCCCTTTAAATTGCCGCTGGAGCACCAGGCGGCTCTAAGGGAGGGGGGACTAGCGGGATACACTCACATTGAGGGCTGACTGATTTGGCCCCGCCCCTTCTGAGGGCGTGGAACCTGCCCCCCTCCTCTCCCCTCCCCCCATCCAGGGGTCTGCGTAGCTGTCGGCTTCCCAGATATGTAGCAACAGGCGCTTTACTTTTGCTTTGTACTGTGCAGCAGTGACAGTACGTTAAAATCTCGCACAGGCGATGTCCTGTTGCAACCTGGGTCCCTGCCGGCTTAAATCGCTCCTCTTGCTGGAGCTGCGTGCCCGTGCGCACCCGTTTGCCTTCGCCTCTGCTCCAGTGTGGTCAGTGCCCGAGACGCAGCTGGCGTCCTCGTACTCCCGTGGCCACGAAAAGAATTGATGTGGGAGATCTGCTGTGTAGTCAGGCGGCACCGGCTTATCCCCCTTCCCGGATCTTCTCTACATTCCTCCTTGCTGCTTACCGCCCTCTCCTAAGCCCTCGCCTTTGGATCCGCCCCTCGCTTGCCTGTGCCCAGCTGCCTCGCAAGGACGTTGCGAGCCGCGTTGATTGCAAAGCGCGCGGAGAATTTCCCAGGGAGCTGTCTGAGTTGCTGCTTCCCTGCCCTACTAACGCGCCCTGGGAAAGATGAAAGCGAAGGCTTTCACTGAACCTGCCCAGGGCGTGGCACCTGCCCTCCTTCCCCTCGCGGCGGGTTGCTTGCACGTGTGTCTCCATGTGGGTGTGATTCCATCCGCCCGGCACATGTCGAGCTGCCTGCCTGTGTCACGCCCACTCTGGGCTGTGAAGAAACGAGGCCGGCTCGGAAGGAGGTGTAAGAAAGCAGGCGGCGCGGCGTGACGCCTGCCCTTCCCGCTGCCAGGACGTGGCATTAATAGAGCGCTGGGGCACTGCTCCCCCGGCACAGAAACCTTTCCCACGCCGGCTGCGGTCTGAGGGGAGGCTTCCCCGAGGGCAGAGGCTGCAGTTTGCTCTGTCGGCAGGCCCCTTTCCTCCAGCTGATCCGAGGGTCCCGTCGTGATCTCTCCCTTGGGCAGTTTGTGTCTTAGCGGCGTGTAGGCGGAATCGGCTTCGCCCCGGCTTCCCGCGCGGCTGCCTTCTCTCCCGGCGCCCTCGCGCAGCAAAGCTGGGTCGGTTTGCCTGTAAACTAACAGCTGGGCGTTGCTGAGGTTTTTTGTTTTTTTTTTAATTTCCCCCACAGGGTTAAGCAGCTTCCAGCGCAGCCTAGCCATGGACAGGATTCAGAGGATAGTCGGGGTCCTGCAAAAGCCAGAGATGGGGTAAGAGTCACCTCTGCAAAACCGTCACGATGCCGTGTGGGACTGACTACGGGGGGGCAGCCAGACCGTGCACAGCTGGGCCGTCTCTAGGGGGCATAGGGCCTCGGGCAACCCCCTCCTAGTGTCCCTGCTGCAGGTCCCACCCTGCCCCTGCTTCCCTCCCTTGCCCCCTCTCCCCAGCATCACAAACTGAGGGATTACAGGGCTTTTCGCGGGGCAGCATCGGGGGGGACCCTGCACGACCCGCGGC